TCTTGTGACCCTGGCACTCATTCCTGCCTGTGGCAGGAGGTCAGGCGAGATGGTCTGTTCAGGTCCCTCCTGACCCTAGCTACTATGAAACTATGAGAGGTAAGTGCTGGACTGCTTAAGGCCCTCTCCAAACTGTGCAGGCCGAGTTTGCCGCCTCCATGGCGTGATATTTTTTTAAACAGTGCAATATCTTTGAATAAACATCATGTCATTTTTGTTTGTGAAATTGTTGGGTGATGGTAAATTTTTAACAGACAAGGAGATTTATTGTAGTGTATACAGACAGATTTTTTTGTATAAAATACTCAAAAGACAAATGATTGTTTTGGGAAAAAAAGTGTATTTGTTTCCATGTCAACCAGACTGACTTCATGAACTAGCAGGACGCCCTGAAGAAGGGGGATGCAACTTGTTCATCATTGTCTCCCAGAAGGACTGGAGATCCATTATGTTTTTCTTGCAAGGGAAAGCTGAGCAGTGCTGCAGGTTGGTACCCAGGAGAAGGCACAAAGTGGAAGCCTCGATCATTTGCTGTTATTAAACCAAACCCAGGACACTCTTTGTGATAAGCAGGGTGCTAGCCTGGAGGACTAAATTCAGACATAACTAATTACGTTCTGCCAACTGAACGTCCCCTGCGGTTTCAAATGTAGACATACTCTTCCACTCCTGACTTAAAACTCCAGAGTGGTGTTGCATTTTGTTTGGCATAGTTTCGCATTGCTAAGAGCCTCCATGTACAATTTACTGCGGGATAAAAAGATGCAGGGCTTAATTTGCATCAGCTGTTTCCCCTGTACACACTTTCCTTCCCCCCCTCCACAGTTTACCACAGAAGCTAAACTGTAGTTTGGTCCCTAATGGAGGAGGAGTAAGCTACTTGTGATTTAATTTCCACCCTACGATAGGTTAAGAGTGCAAACGTGCCAGTTGCCACAGATTACTTGATGCGTGATCAAGCCCAGCCACTTTTACCTTGTCATAAGTAGTTTGTAAAGCCATACCCTAATTTGCTGTTGCATTCCACCCAACCAAAGTCTGCCTTTCAGAGATGAGGGAATTGGTCTGAATAGAGCATTGTTTTTTTAATGAACATTTTAAGACCTGTTTAGTCCTTCAGAAGAAAGGTACTAGAAAGAACAGACTGCCTGGAAGACCTTCTCCTGGAAGGGGCTATGTGGGACGCTGAATCCAGCTCTTTGCAAGAGGCATCTATTCTCACTCCAGCTCCAGGTCCCATGGTGATTTGAACTCTCATCATTCCCCACGTGCAAAGCTAGAGCTATAGCCCAGTCCCATCAAAGGATTATTTCTGCTTAGAAATTGCCATATTGCTTTAGAGCAATCAAGGTTCTGTTGCGCCCATCTCCACGATGCCTCCTTTCTGCTAAGGCTGGTAGCATGTCTTTTCTCTTTAAACATGTCACAATGTCCCATTAATCTCAGATGTCATTATTGCTCAGGACTGTCAATTAAACATTTGAGCCGTTGCACACTTTGTATCCTGGAATGGGTCGCGCCTCACCGCGAGACTGCAGCTCCTCAAAGCAGGAGAAGAAAACCGACTGGCCTTTTTAGGAGAAGGACCATATTGTCTCTTTTAGAGAGCAGAACATACCCCTCAGTCACTTTTGAACACAACGAGCGCCTCAAAGTCTAGAGCCGAGTCTCTCAGCCATCCCAAGATTTGATTTGGGCACATTTATTCTTGGCCTTTTCATATATAGGTTCATGTTCTGATCTCTCTTATTAAAGGGAAGTCTGGAGCGACCCCAGATGTACCCTGGTGTTACTGAGATTGGAACGTTGTCCGAAGTATTTGGTTTAGAAAGTTCATGTGTGGAAGCCGTAGATCTGGATTAAATCCAGCCAGGCAACTTGACTTAAAGTAAACCTCCTGAATGCTGTTTGTCAGATGCTAGTACACTATTGTTTTAGTTTTGCTCATTTCTCCACTGGGAATAATCATCTTGTTGAGAAAGAAAGTGATCTAATGAGAGAATTAACCCCAGAGTCTGAACAGTGAATTAACTGCAGCTGTGTGAGAGGGGAAGCAAGGCAAAGTCCAGAGAGAGTTTAGAGTATTTCAGAGGAAAAAGGCAAAAGGGGAAGTGATACCAGGAGGCATTTAGCAGTCACCTATTAAAATAAACTGAAACAGGAGAGGGATCGCTTCCAGTACCAGCCAGAAAGAGAGGGGTAGTCCTGCTTAGCCCAGAGAGTACGCTGCTGTTAACTGAGTTCTCCCTTACTCTGCTCCGTTGACCTTTCTCTGATTCTCCCGTACTCTAATTCCTGGTACGGGTGGATTTCTGCACTTCTTCCCCGGAAATGCCAGAAGGTGCCTGAAGGTCGAGGGCTGCTTCTTGACCCTTGCCACCATTTATTTAAAGTAGATGACTGATTTAATGGAGCTAGAGCATGTACCTTTGGTTTGCTTTTCTTCCATTACCGTCTTTGAGACATCCTGTCACCTTTGCACCAATGTGACCTTATCTAAACGAAACCTTCTCTTCTGCCAATGGGAAATATTATTTATATTAGAGGAAAGGCCATCCTTCAGTTACGTAGGAATCTTAGTCCTGGTTTTGTTAAGGTTTATCTGGGTGTCAAAATGCAATCTAAACCCTTATGCCTTCTCAATTCTTTATTGTAATCCTGCCTTATGAAGTCAAAGAGTATGGAAAAGAGATAGCAAGACTCTGAGCAATTCAGATAAATAGAAGGCAGGGGAGATTTGTACCTTATAGACTAACCAAAGTGTGTTATATGTAGTACAAACTTTTGTGAGCTGAAGCTCGTGAGATATATGTGTATAGATGTATGTATGTGTGTGTGTGTGTGTATGTATATACACACACACACACACATATACATATATATACATTAGTCTATAAGGTGCAGCCTTCTACTTGATTTCAGACCAGCACAACTAACTACATCTCCCTGATTCAGAGAAGTCAGTGATTCTCAGCTAAAGTGGGTGTTATGAGATCCTTTTAGGGATGCCATGGGAGGCTGCATAATATTAGTGCTGTTAAGTGTGCAAATACCTACACGTATTTTGCAAGATAAGCTCATAGGCCGTGTCCACACAAGCATGGCCAGCAGCTGGAGTGTGGCTCCGGCTGGCCAGGCTCTGGTTTGGGGCAGTGTGTGCTGTCCCTGCATTCGCTGCCCTGCTTTTTTTGTTTTTTTCCATGGGTTTTTTTGACTAAGAGCTGGGTGTCTTGGATCTCCTGAGCGGTGCGATGGCTCTAAAAGGGCTGAGAACCACTGAGGAAAGTGATCCTATTAATAGGGAATCCAGTCCCATGGCGTGTAAAAGTTTTGAGTACGTATACGAGTCGAGGTTGGAATGTGAATGGACGTCCCAGCCCAGGATGGAGGAAGTGGAAAAAAAATTACAGTTTAAAAGGAGGGAAACTACAAATTGCATGGATTAGAAGAGGAGGAGTAGTTTGCCCACGGGCCAGTGGACGCTTCTCAGAACATTTCCTGGGTGACCGAGAACACTGTAGCTCGAGTTTTTGAGAGAGGAAAATAATATTTTAAAACCCAAATATTTTTATAGTTATCAAAATACGAAAGGAAAATGAAGTTTTTTTACATTTAAATATGACTGAATCTACATTGCCTGTAGAAGTACAGACTAATCAATGTAGAGGTAGGGTTAGAAGAGACCTCAAGAAGTATTTAGTTTATCCCTCTGCTCTGAGCCAGGGTAAGTATAACTAGATCATCCCTGAAAGACACTTGTCTGATGTTAAAAACCTCCAATGGAAAAGACTCCGCTGTCTGCCTTGGGAGCCTGTTCCAGTGCTTCACTGTAATTTATAGAAAATATTCCTAATATCTAGCCTCATTCAATTTTTCTGTCCTGCCCTTGGTGATCTCGAAGAACAAGTCATCTCTTCCCTCTTTATAAAAACCCATTAAATGACTTATCCTTGCTTAGTTTTCCTCTTTTCTAGAGAAAACAAACTCAGCTCTTTTAACCCGTTCTCAAAATCTTGGACTGTTGTTTCTCACCTGCCAGTTCGTCTACATCTTCCATAAACTGTGGTGGTCAAAACAGTATCACAGCGTTGACTCATATTGAGGTGGAGGGTCACTGTAGCCCCCAGGTCCTTTTCTGTGCTATGGCTGGCTAGATGCTTCTTTCCTACTCTGTAATTGTGCGTATGATATATTTTTCCTAATTGTAGCACTGCAGTCGCTTTGACTGCATTTTTTATTGTTGATCTCCACTTTATCAAGGTCATTTTCAATTCTAATCTTGTCCTCATCCACAGATTCGTAAGTGTACTTTCTATTTGACCATCTAAATCATTCACAGAAATGAGAACCAGAGCCATAACAGACGTCAAGTTTGACGGTGAGTCACTGATAATTACCGAGTCCAGTTTGTCAGCTGTGTGTGTATGCGCTCTATGGTACTATCTTCTGGATATTATTTCTCTACATTTGTTTGTGAAAATGACACACAAGCAAAATGTCAAAAATGCTCCACTGAAGTCAAGATCTATTGAGTCTGCTGCTCCCCCGGTCTCCAGTAGCCTGTCCCCTTCAAAGAAGGAGGAAACAGAAAGGGATTGACACCATTTGCTCATGGCTATTTGTTACCACCTTGTCAACCTGTAGGTGCTTATAAATTGGGTGTTTAATAATTTGTTCTGGTATCTTTTCTCATACTGAATTTTTTTTTTTACCTCCTCAGTTTGTATATCTCTGTTTGACTCATCTACAGTAACTTCTTTACCAATTTTCATCCCAGGATCTCAGAGCACCTTACAAGCGTCAGCTAATTCTGCTCCTGGACATGCACTTCCTCCGTGGGCGCTTGTCCATGTTACACCACGTTACACCTCTCCTGTTACCACGTTACGCTGTGTGACCGCAGAGAGAGGCAGTGATCTGTGTGAGTCTAGAGTCGGGCAGAAGGCAGGGCAGGGCAGTATCTTACTAGAAACTATTACTTAATTTCCCAGTGCCCCAATTTACTTCCCTGTGGACAGTTTACTTCTCTCCCTCTTATCTCCCTCTCATGTGTGTTCTGAGGGCTAATGAATGGTTGTAAAATCTGTGAGATCCACAGATAAAAGCTACAATAGAGGTTATTTTATTATTATCATATGTTAATATGCCTATTCAAAAGGGGTAAAGAAAGTACAACAAAAATATATTTGTCAGGTACCCAGGTTGTAGCTGTATTGGTCTAGAGGAAAAGGCAATCAGGACTCGTAGAGATGATATCTTTTATTAAACCAACAAGATTTTTGTGAAAAAAAAAACATTTTAATTGCAAACTTTCAGGCACAAACCCTGAAGAAGGATGTTTGTGCCTGAAAGCTTACAATTAAATAATTTTTTTTGCAAAAATCTTGTTGGTCTAATAAATATACATTAAGAGTTATGAAGTATGAAGAACTGATTGAGGAAGCTAAAGACTTCAGTGAAAATCATGACTAGTGCGGCTAAAATAAGGATGTGTATGAGAAACAAAGAATAAATGTTAGCAATGGTATAGATCCATTGGTAGATTGTGAAATTATTAATGATGATGTAGAGAAGGCAGAAGTGTTAATACCTACATCTTAGTTCTTGAAGACACGTGGGTTGACCTACTTGCAGGACACAAGGATGATGAGGTACTTTTCAGTCCACAAGTAACAGAACGTGAAATCACATCTCCCACATATAAACATTTTAAAAATCAGCAGGCTCAAGAGTCTTAACTAGCTTAGGAAATCTCTGGCCTTTGGTGTTAATGTTTAACAAAGCTTGGAGTACCAGAGAAATACAAAAGTCAGGAAGACTGGTAAGGTGCTGACATTCAGAAGGACAAGCAGGATGACCCCACCAGGTCCGGTTGGTTAGCCTGACCTCAGTCCCAAGACACAGGAAGAAAAGGGAGACGTGAGATTCACCTAGTAAATAATTAAATGACACGATACTTAACGCCAGTCGACGTGATCTTATTGACTAAGTACTTTGATAAGGTTACCAGTTGGAATGATAAAGGTGACTGCGTATATTGTTATTGAGATTTTTATCCTGCTCTATCCAGAAAAGCTAAGGGCAGCTTGCAGTCAAATAGCAAACGACAAAGTAGATTCCCCAAACAGCACCCTAAAACTTCACATTTAGGTATAAGAGGCCTCCCATGTCCTCCCCCCTCCCATTTCCCTGCCTAACACCCAGGGAAGATCCTTCCCCAGAGGGCCCTCCCACGGCTGCGCTCTGCTCTCCTAGGCGGAGGCGGTGGCTGTCCCAAGAACACGCCTAACACACGGCATGACATTCGAAAGAACCATATCGCAAAGACCGTCCATCCCTACCTCAGTCACCACTGAAGGGCAATGCCAAAAGGCACCCTTTAGCATCAACCCAAGGCAGTGCCTACCTGGAGAGGGCCGATCCATCGCCCTCCACTTGGTTGCTTGGCCAAGATGGTGCTTGGGCTGGACCCCAGCCCTCCCCTGGGGTGAGGGAGGCAAGAGGGTGAGGGCTACGGTTCGGTAATATATTTTGCAAGGGATTTGACATGGTATTCTGATTATCCAATATCAGTAAAGTACACATCAAACAGATTAAGAATTGGCTACCTGACCAATCTCAACACACAGCTGTCAAGGGAAAACCTTGTCAACTGGGAATATTTCTAGCAGGGCTTGAAGAAGCAGGAAGGCCAGAGAGCCATCAAGTACTGTGCTAGGTAGGAGACATTTGAGATGGACAGGAAAGGAAAGATGTTAGTGCTGGTGAGAAGAAAGGTTTGGCAGAGCTCAGCTGCCCTCCAAATTCTATTCCTCGCTGCTTAAACAGATCCTGACAAGTCCAAAACAGCAGCCTCATGAACGTAATCTAGTGGAGGGAGGAATGATTCAGAATTAAAGAAAGGAAGTAGATGATGGGAAGGAGAAAGGGATGCCAACCTGTTCAGCTTCATTGTCAAAGCTGTGAGAAACCCCAAAAGCAAACAGCCAGCCTCATTCAGTGTAATCTTGTTGGGGTTTAAAAGTTTTCCAAGTTTTATTGTTAACAGAGGTCGAGATGGAGTCTGACTTGGTGTAAATCAGCACAGACCCAAAGCATGCAATGGAGCTATGCTGATTTCCACCAGCCACAAATCTGGACAAGGGAAATTAAATCCTTCCCTCAGCTACCCTAGTGCCACCACTGCGGGAGGCGGTGTAGAAAAGAAGATAAAACCATGCCCGTCTACTGACATCAAAGCAATCACACAAGCATAACCAAGGGTAGAAGTGGATCCATTTTTATCAGAGAAATATCCTTTTAGTATTAGTCTGGACTTTGATTTCACTTTGGCAATAGCACTGGCGCTGGAAAGTGCAAGCAGAACATTGTGACAAACTGAGTCATCCTTCTGTTGATCTTGAGCGAGGATCCGAGCCAGATCTCTTCTGTCACGGCATTTCAATTATACTGTGGGGATTCATAAAGCTCAAGGTTACACTTCATATTTATGCTGTGGGATTCTTTTTTTACTGATATGACTTAAAGTGAAAGTCTGCTGAAACTGCCCACATGTACAGTTTACTGCACGTATCCCCATTAATGCAGGACTGTCCAGCTGGTTGCCCATGGGCCACCCCCAGGCTCCCACCTGCATGCTGTCATCCCCACCCCGCAGCAGCCAGAGGCTCCAAGCTCCCCTTCCCTCTGGCTTCCTCTTCCTCGCCCTGGCCCTGCTGCAGGGGTTGGGGCAGTACAGCATGACACAGCCATCAGTGCTTCGGGAGCTTGTGGTGGGGAAGCTAATGGTCAGTCGGGGCCCCTGTGTGTGGAGTGCAGCACGGGGAACATGCAGTGCAGCAGGGGAACCTGGTGTATGGTGCAGGGGAGGGGGCCTGGGACCTGGGTCCCCTCCGTGTGGCCCCTGCTAGCATGGACCCTGGCCACGAAGAAGTTGGAGAGCCCTGGATTAATGCATGTGTCTAATAGTAAGCCATCACTTTGCATCTATAGTCTTGAGCTGCTGAATAAGCTCACTTCCATTTATCAATGGCCACTGACGTCACTTCTTGTGATATAATCCATGTGCTCTCGCACGCTTAAGGGCAGGGTAGCCTGACATGGAATCCCGAAACCGTCCCCAACTGTTTGAACGTCTCATGACGTGTATCTGCCAGCACTCACATTGTCTCTGGCCATTCCTCTCCGTTTAGGTGCTCGCTCCGTAGCACTTTTTTACGGCAGGCGTGCTCCTCGCTGCTACTGACGCTGGAACTCTCCTCCGAGCTTTCGGACAATATGTACTTGATCGCCACGTCATCCTTCTCATTCATTTGCAAGCACAGGCAGGAGGATTCGCTCACCTTGAATGAATGCCCCCACAAGGTTTGGCAGAGCTCAGTACCATTTGCAAACACCTAGGTGTCAAGTAAACAAAGCAGGTTAAAAAGAATCAACTTAACTGTCAAACCACCTTCAGCCTGAGTCCCTTTTGCTCTGTATCGCGTGCAGTCAGTCACTTTTCGGGTGGAATTGCCAGACTGGTGGCGTTTTAGTCCTTCTTAGCACTGGTGCAAACAACCGTGCAAGGGACAAGGCAGTGAAGATTTGTTTCCAAAGTCGTATGAGTATGTTGGATCCCACAGACCAAAAAACAGTGTGTGGCTAGCTCAGCCCTGTGCAATACTGCTGAAGTGCTGTAGTGTAAAGCCAGTAATGTTTTATTTATGTACCCTGACACATATTCTTTCCAGTGGCCTAAGCACTGGTGCTAGGCACTGGACAGAGTACAAGACTCCGATATCTTTTATTTGTCTCCATCACAGATACACACTAACTTCATGGCTATCTCAGATTTCGGTATTCTCCCTATACCGTACATCATGACTGCTCAGGACCTCATAAAAAGAGAGGACAGGAAGAATTCAGAAAATTTACCTCTGACTTGTAGAAACTCTGAGGGTAGGGAGAGAGCCCCAGTACCACTTATCCTCCCTTAAAGTGGGCTTGACTACCCGTGGCCTTTTTAAGCAGGATTAGCCTAAAATCGCCATTTTTTAGGTACATTAAGGGCACATGTCCACACGTATGCACCCTTAATGCACCTTAAGGATGGCAATTTTAGGCCAGTCCTGCCTAAAGTTGATACCTGCTTAAAGCAAGTACCAAATTTAGGTTGGTATAGTTAGCCCACGTGTAGACACTTAAGGCACATTAACACGGTATGAGTCAATGGACACACAACTGCGTTAATGCGCATTAGCATGGCTACACAATGCCAGCCTAAATTTAGTGTGCCTTAATGCACATTATCGCATCTATGTGTAGATGTAAGCCTAAATCGCCTTAATACGCCTTAAACAAAGGCGTATTAAGTTTAGGCACATGTAACTACCCATGTAGACACGCCCGGCGAGTCTCCCTCTCCAGCCCAAGGGGTCCATTTAGTTCAAGGAAATATTAATTATAGTTTCCTGCACCAGCTTTAATTGAATTTGTCCTGTATCTTATTTAGCAGTGACATCTTTGCAAGAACCATCAGTCACATGCGCTATATGACCATCCAGGGAATGAACCTCTTGCCTGTTGCATTTATGCCATGGAAAACTTTTGCTCTTCTAGTCCGTATTTAAACAAACATTGTTATCTTTTGTGTTGGAAAAGCTAAGAATAGGTACCATTTGTAGCAGCAGAGAAGGCAGGTTATGTACTTTGGCAAATCCAGGAATAAACCATGAACTTCATATTTGTTTGTACTCTGTACCCACATATTTGCTCTTGGGATTTAATATTTTCTGTTTAAATAAGAGAGACTTAGACACGGCAAAGTAAGGGTGATAAGCATGAGCACGATGGCAAATAATGCAACCTCAAGGGAAAGGCAGATGTAGTGTCGCACAGCGATTAAAACGGAGTAGCTGAACTACTGCATCACTGACTTACTCTATAACCTTGATTAAGTCACCTAACTTCTCCTTATCTCCCGTTACGACTGTAGGACTAACATGTATGTCACAGGCATGTCGGGAGGTTTAGTGGATCTTCATAAAACTCCAACATCTCTGATAGAAGTGGTTTTAGGTACCTAAAGTATTATTACAGAGGTGGTTAGCCATGTTGGTCTGAGCTCAGGCAGAAGATAGGGTTGGGTGGCAACTTAGAGACTAACTGGTTCAGAGGCACAAGCTTTCATTGGCAACAACCTACTTCATCAAATGCTATCGGATGCTTATTATTGTTACTTAGGGACAGTGTAATATAGGAATACTAACAAACTGTTGCATAGTCTACTCTTAACATCCCCTGTTCCCTACTATTGACTGCTACTAGAAGGTGTATGTGTACAGCGAGGGCAGGGAAGACCCCTGCCCATTGCAGCACTCCCTATCAATATAGTGAATTCAGTGCCGCCTTTTCCAGCAGTTCTGAAAATTATGGAGGGTGCACCTTCTTCACTGGATTATTGTTACTGCCCCTGATGTGTCAGTCTAATAAAGGAAGTCTGACCCTGGTTGATTCACCCTGGAGCTCAGCAAGTCACTCATTTCTCTGTGGCTTGGAGATCCTTGCATGAAAGCTGTTAGGCAGAAGATAGGGCAGGGTGGCAAGAATTTATCTGGTTCACAGAGGGATACGCTTCATAAGAGACAGCCTGCTTTGTCAGATGCTGCGAACGGTGAACGATGTTGTAAGTGCCACGTTTCAAACCTTCAGGCTCAGTGATGTGGAGGTGAGGATGGGGACCTCGATGAGTTTGTCTCTCCCTGCTTTTCCCAGAATAGGTTCTTGTTCTCGTGAAGGATGTCTCTTCTTTCCCCACAGGGGACACTTGGAGTAGACTGTAACCTTTGCTGTGAATGAGATCATAATTGCCTCTTCTGATCTAAAGCTCTGTCAGCTATGAATAATATGGAGTCCATCCCATAAATAACCCTATAGGCCCTCTGGGCTCTTGCTTTTAAAGCTACAACTGATCTGCAGGGGCCTGGCTCCATCTCTGCTGCAGTTCATACCAGTGAAGCGCCGAGGCAGGCGGATGCCGCTTCACCTCCTGCACTGCTGCCTGCGTGCTCTCCTGCAGGCCCGAGAAGATGTAGGCAACCCTCGAGCGGAAAGGCCTTGTTATCCTTCTCTCTCCCCTTGCACGCTCAAAATGTAGCCGTCTGGATTTACTTTCCTCCCTATGCCTGTCCTTTGCAATGCCACAAAGCTTATTCCTTCAGCTTCCAGCTGTCTTCCCTTGCTTCCAGCGGGTCATTTCAGGAGTAACATCTGTACATTCATGCTTATTTCCTTATGGGAAGTACAGGGTTACACTCCACAGGCTCCAAAAAACACTCGCTCATAAGCTTATCTTGGCTAAGTTCGTCTGATACACGGCACTTCCTTCTCATCTTGCTGCTAGCTCTGCGCTCCAACCACTGAGTAATTACAGGGCTGCAGGACAACAAAACCAAACCAAACGCTGCCCACGGTCCGCTCTGCACGTCAGTCCTTACAGACCACGGAGGCTTTCAGTTGTTCCACCTGCTAGGCTGAGCTCTGCTCTTCGGACCAAGCAGTTTCGCAGGAAGAAGAACAGTAGAACGAGGCTCATACATTTTCAGACAGCATGTATAAGACTAAAGCTGGCCAGGATCCACGATTCATTCTTGATATCCAACACGAGCTCCAAATGCGCCTTCCAGCCGTTCGCATATGTCAACTGCAAGGCTGCTGATTGCTCCACCGTATGGGATAAGGGCATTGGAAGAAACAAAGCATCTGTCTGCGATGCACGAACATTGGAGAACGCTCGGTGCCTTTTGGATGTTAGCAAGTTTCCTTCCATCAGCTAGGGCCAAGCGAACTGAAGTCTCACTTTTGGACTGTTTCATTTTAACATGGGAAGCATATTTTTTAAACTGTTTAGACAGTGCTGTGAGGTGTTTTGGCTATCGCAGCATAAACAGGCAGAATACCAATAGCTTAGATCATTTGCTATGTTACTGTGTTGCTGCCTGATACAGCAGAAAGAGAAAAGAGGCGATATTTCTAGTTGGCAGAAGGTTTTAAAACATAATGGGTTTTGTACCTCGTGTCATCATTTCCGCCTGTACAAATTGAGAGCAACCATACGGTTTGAGGAGCATTATTCATCTACTTTATACAGACCAAGATGACCACAGAAGGTGGCAGGCCATGCCCTTTTATTGTTGAACAAAATATCTCTCTAATCACATTTTCTCCTCTCTGGTGCCTCTCTTACCGATACACTTTTGCATAGCCCACATGCACATTCAAATTGTCCCGTTTGTTACAGCATCCGTTTTGTTCCTTGACCAAAAGGTCTGTGGACCCCCCTTCCAACCCACAGCGTGTATTATCATTAGAACTGAGATGAAGAACAAGTCATTGTGGAAGACGTTAAGTAACTTATGCACACAGCATGGGTTAAAGCAATTAAAGAGTGGGAAGAGAGTAGCAGAGGGCAGAACAGAGCTATACATCGAAAGTCACTGTCAAGAGGGCGTTTGGGTAAAATACTAATCCTCTAACTTCATCCCAAACACCGAGGTTAGAAACCCAGTGCCCCAGTTACCCACCCAAATCCCTGTCACTTCCTGAGTCCGTTTTAGACTCCGTTACGGACAGACAGCAACTCTCTCCCTGTGTTATTTGCAGCACAGTTAAACACCTCACTTCCCGTCAGATTTCCAAACCAATTTGAACAGGCAGTGCGACTCAATAGTTCAGAAACTGAAACAGAGTCTGCAGTCTTTTTGCAGTTCATTCATCAGTTATTTAGATTATGCCAAGCTTGCCTGTTTTCTCATATTAAACTAGTGCTGTTATGTCCGCTAAGGTTGCTGCCCCATCGGTAGCACAGGCCGCGAAACAGCACGTCTGCATTTTTAGGAGCGCTCTTGTAAGGATCAAGTGCAAAAGGAATGATTGCTGCTCTGGAAATTAATGTGTAGTGGCAGATACTTGCTTTGGAAAAACCTCATCTTTATGCATAGCGTTGGGTAAAAAATATGGCCAAGAAGAGGTGTGGCTCTGTTCTCGCGTAGGAACTGCTGTGCCTGGTTTGAAGTGATAAGATGTTTTGGATTTGCTGGATGCTTTTCCTTTGCTGACAGATGCGTTTTCTTTAAAAAAAAAATAACTGCAAGTGAATTAAAACCTGATGAAAGGTTCCAGGCTGAAACCTTTGATTTTCAGAGCAAGGACAGCATGGGCAGGGACCAGAGCCTATTTCCAGAGGCCCTGATCTCAGGGCTGAAGCTATGTGAAAATAAGGCCCCAGTCTGCATGGCCTACTCTCGTTTTGGCTTTTCTTGCTGACCTAGCAATTAAGCGTTATTTGTGGTGCTGCTTTTGTATCACAGATATTTATCCTGCACGACCTGGTCGGTGACTGCCAAGAGCCCGCAGCAGGGACCTGCTCTTGGTGCAGAGTCAAACCTGTGAAGTCTGTTACCCCTCCTAACAGATGAGCTTGCCGTTCTGCCTACCTCTTCTTGTGTGTGAGCAGTTCTCCCAGGATCACTGAACATACTTCCTTAGCAAAAGTCCAAACCTAGCACTGCACTATACCCTTTTCCCTGGATCGTAAGTCCATTACAGTCATTGGAACGACTCCCACCGACTCTTTAAAGTAGCTTGGATCAGGCTCCGGGCAATTTTTGTTCCTAGGATTCTTTTCAGCCCCGTGTTTCTACACTTGTGCTCTCACGATTAGGCACCCTGGCCATAAAACCTTCCTCAGGACCAGATGGGCTCCAGTTCTGATTTCACTTTCAGGACAGGCTGACTAAGGTGAAGCCCTGAAAAACGAAGGCATCTCTGTCCCTTTGTTCTTGCATTGACCGACAGAACGGGGTCCACAGGGCAAGGACTTGATGGGTCTGAGGAAGATAATCAGGAGCGTTTTAAGGACTCCTGTCACAACCCAAAGTTGTGGTTTTTTGTTTGTGTGTGCTTCGGCACCGCTAAATTATGTCCCCGCCAAATTGCAGCTTCATTGCACGGGGGTGTTTTCTTTTGCAATAGGAGAACCCGCGTGCAAAAGAGTATTTCCCGCCGTTTGTAGCCTTCTTTGCATGGTGCATTTCTTTTGCATCATAGTGATGCACGGTGCAAAGGAGTTCCCGCCATTTGTATTAGGATTTCTGCCACATTTTGGCCAATCTTAATATAGGCACACGTGGCGGCTAGCGATTGGCTTGCTAGCCGTATAAAGAGCTTGGGTGGTTTCCGCCCAACTTGGAGAGAGAGAGAGAGAAAGCAATTGGAGTTTGGGAGAAAGAGCGTAAAGATCTCTAAGCGCTGCTAATCCCTTCGAACCCAGCTTTTTTTTTCTCCTTAAGAGAGCAATAGAGGGCCGATTTACCGATCCCACGGAGTCTTAACAACTCCGGGGGCCTATTTACCGAACCCACGGAGCTTCAACCACTCCGGGGGCCAAACGGCCTCTAGCCTCCCCTCGTCGCCGAGCGCAATCCTAAGACGTATCCCTTCCTTTTGAAACTACCGAACCCGCGGAGCTTCAACAACTCCGGGGCCAATTACCGAGCCGAACCCGCGGAGCTTCAACCACTCCGGGGCCAATTACTGAGCCGAACCCGCGGAGCTTCAACAACTCCGGGGCCAATTACCGAGCCGAACCCGCGGAGCTTCAACCACTCCGGGGCCAATTACTGAGCCGAACCCGCGGAGCTTCAACAACTCCGGGGCCAATTACCGAGCCGAACCCGCGGAGCTTCAACCACTCCGGGGCCAATTACTGAGCCGAACCCGCGGAGCTTCAACAACTCCGGGGCCAATTACCGAGCCGAACCCGCGGAGCTTCAACCACTCCGGGGCCAATTACTGAGCCGAACCCGCGGAGCTTCAACAACTCCGGGGTCAATTGTCGGAGTCCTCTAGCGAGGATTTAAGCGGAGCTGAGCCTGGAAAACTGTCCAGCCTACACCACGACCATCTTTGGTGGAAGTAAACAATCTTTTAATGAACCATTACGCGTCCGTGACTAATTCTAGCTCGCCACCGGTCTTCTTCGACCCCGCGTGCCCAGGCTGCTGGCCACAGCCTGCGTGCACAAAGACGGGCTCACATACCGCTCCTAGCCCACACATGGCCGCATGGATGGGATCGGGAGGCGGCCCGCACAACTCCCACAAGATTTTGCAGAACAAACTGCCCTTTTTTCTTGGGCAAAAATACTGGTACAAAATGGGAACAAGGTAGAAATGCAGTATAAACCTAATGGGGAAAATGTTAAAAGTGCTTGAATGATTTGGGAACCCAGCTCCTATTTTCAAAGGAGATAGAGGCACTTAGGGGTCTAAGTCCTGCAGGTGCTTTTGAAAATGTTACCCAACATTTCCATTTGCTATATACTCTGAATGAATAGTGGTCTAATAAATGATATCAGATTCACCCAAAGACCCTTGTCTGCCTGAGTCCTTAGACCAACACGGCTGCGACCTACACCCCTGTAACATGGAGGATATCGAATTCAGCCGTTTGAAATGGAAACTGTACAACGTGAAAAAGACAGAAGCCAAACTCAGCAGCGACATACTCTCTAAGCCTATGCAAGAAACACACCTTTGTTCCCAGAGGACTAAACATCCACAATCCTGTGACTCCTACAACTCCAAATATGCTTCACAGCTATGCAGGATATTTAAGTTGGTCTCATAAAAGATATCATATTCACCCAAAGAACCTTGTCAGAATTAATAGTAATTTTCTGCGCTTCTGTCTCTAAGCATCATGATGGTTGAAACACCAGATGCACCTGAATTTTGTCTACATTAGAGCTTCCAATCCTGCTCCAACAGTGGTAGGAAGTGTTAGGAATAAAAAAAAATAATTTGGTATTGTCAAAGCCTAGTGTTTTTGAAAGCAAATTGATTTATACATTGCATTTTAGGCCCACAGACTTGAACGAAGGAGTAAGGACAAACACACTAACATATACCAGTCGTGTCTGTTAGTGCTGTTCTGTATGAATCTCTTGTGCTTTCTTACCTCGCTGTATGGGCTACAGTCACTCTTACAGTGGTTCACTCCATTGTCATCCCATTCCCAGTCTGTCAACCAGTTGCGGACACAGGTCAGGTCCTCTTTGCAGGCTTCATACCTGCATGGAGATTAGCAGGGAAAAGAAGAGTTATTTTCCTTGCTGTAATTCAGTGCTACCACTAAATTATAGTGATGCAACACAGGGCAGGATCTGTGGGTCGCATGGATAACACTCTTGGCTTATAGACCCTGTTTTATCCAGTGATCTCAAAGATGAGCAATACAGGACAGGCGCCCCCAGGGAAACCTACTGACAGAGGGAGTCATGGAGAAAGAAGGGTAAAAAAGGAGCTAAAATGGCCAAGTAAAGGGTTGGTGAGAGGCATGTACATCGAAAGATAGAAAACAGTCAACCAATAAGCAACTAAATAAGGTCATATTGGGTGCGTTTACACATTGCTGCATGGTGACGTTGCTACGGCGCCATGCTTTAGTACTTCCTTTTGGAAATACTAAAGCACAGTGCGATACGGGATGTTACCGTGTCGTGCAGGCAGTGCACACTTACATTTCCCAGCTGCGTCGCTGCAGCGGTGCACTATATCCAGGGAGTGCACCACTGTGGGAGCGCAGCTGGCAATAATGTGTAGACCTGCGTGATTGCTGCGTCGCCGTAATGCACCCTATGGGCACTGTAGGGCAACATGTAGACGTGCCTCTTGTGACCTCGGGAGCTGAGATTGAATACGAAGCAGAAATGTTCAAAGACCCCAAGGAGTTAGTTTGGTAGGAACTATTGTAAACGATAACTGAAAGAGAAGCGTGTCAGTGCAACCTCATATCAGCCACTCCAGGAGTTCCAAAATCATGAGCCAGCTCTCCCAAAATCATAAGACTGCCTCAAAAATAGCAGGATATTTAAAAGAGTACATTTAAGGTTCGTTTTATTTGTCTTTTTTTTAATTTTCAGGGTGCAGTTGGTCAAATTTTAAAGGAACTTGCTTTTTTTTTAAAAATTAAAACAGAACTTTTTACATATCCACATAAATACATCATCTGAGGCTTTAGAAGACACAAGAAATAGGAGACTCGCAATGCAACTGCGATAGCACTGCTGTACTTACATAAAGAGAAGCACGTGCATTTTGCAGCATCTCGGCCAATGACTGTAAGTCCTTTAGGGTAGGAACAGCAGCCAGCAGACATGGCCACAATTTGTAGGTGCTGGTATACAGATAACACCACCGCTGTCTGCACACCTGAACTTGGACATTAGTCTTTCTAATTGTAGTGGTGTTCAAGGCCATTTTTCACTTATTTTATATACAAAGTGTGCAAAGAAATTGAAAATGTTTGTGTCTGAGGGTTTTGCATTCAGTCAGTTTTCAGCAGCTGTGTTTTATAGCATGCCAGCGTAGGCGTGAACTTCTGGGACTAGATGTGGAATCACCTGTGACACACTGAGATGTTAAACTTTAAATTGTCTGAGTTCAGCTTTTTCAAGGGTAACTTCCGACAAATTTCAAACAGCGTTCAGGAACATGTTGTGCAAAGTCCAGGGCTGTTTTGCTGATCGCAGGCTATACAAGTCATGGAGTCACGTGTTTTTATCACTGACATTTATTGGTGTGACAACAAATATAGACGGAGATTAAACCAGTTGTGGACTGAACAGTCTTGGGAAGGAGAATGGGATGGTCTGCTGCTGGACTTTGTGGGCCTGCTACGAGTACAGATCTCAGAGTGGCGAACATGGGGGATCTGTCCTTAGCATACCACTATCAGGCCGGGCTTTGGTCTCGTGGCTGGCTCTCAGGATAGGTATAAACACCAGAGCTTAAGCAATTAAGCCCAATTCAAGAAAATGTGTAACCAAAAGTACTTATATCCGCCCCCTTTCCATATAGGGACTTAGGAACGTTATGCTGTGCATCTAGGTTTCGAAGGCACCTGAATTCAACAAGAACATTGAAATATTTATACTTTCATTTGATCTATGTTGCACTTGCATGAGGCTTCCTGAAATCAGGATGAGCCCTTCCTACCCTCCCATGCTGAGTGCTACGCAGACATATTAACAAGACAGTCTGTTTTTCATAGGCTCTTTTTTAGCCTCAAGGAGTCAAGGACAAAACTGAGCACAATCATAAATTCTGATGGTATTTCTGCTGTCAAGAACCTCCCAAACGGCTCCTCCAGGCTTGAAAAAGCACCAGTGAAAAGCATGAATGTAAGTACCCAAGAGACTCACCTTTATACTAGCCACCATGCACTGGAAGACTGATCTACTTTTTACAAGCCAGGGTTGTTTTTTTTTTTTTATTTTGAAACTAATTTAATACCCGGAGTTATTGTTTCAGACCCAACACTTTCCCTTCTGATAGGGGCCCTTTTTGCAGGTGGGTAGGAAAAGAAGCGGCTCATAGGGCTCTTTACAGTCCACGTGGACTTCAAGATAACAGATTTCAGACTGGTGGAAGCAGAAGATCATAAAATAATAGGAAGAAAAGGGAAAGCCCCAGGCTAGTCGGATGAATTTCTTTGACGTGAAATCACTGCTCTTCCAGAGCCCTCTGCACATGTCTGCCCACAAAGACGTGCAGTTTGCAGCAGACACATTTGTGAAATGTCAAGAAAGTAGGTCACATCCCGAGCGGCACTTGAGCACACTAGAGGATTATAATGAATACAATGCATAGGAGGAGAATTGGGAGCGCTATCCCGGATTGCCAGGAAGAGCAGCAGTCCCATCCACGTGCCTCTTTCGTCTCTGGTCTGTAAGGCAGGGGGGACAAACCTTTCTGGCAGACGTGCCACAAATTAGCCCCGCACCCTCCCCGAGTGCCACTCCGATCTCCGTCCATCCCCTGCTCCTTGTCCTGTGCTCCCTGCCTGATCTGCTGCTTTGCTTTCTGCTTCTTTCCTTGTGCTCCTTCCCGGCTTTGCTTTCTGCTTCCTGCCCTGTCTCCTGCTGTGCTGCCTGGGTTGCTTGTGGCACCTGTGCGGCCGGTTAGCTATCCCTGGGCTAGGGAATGGCACTAGCATCGGGAAAGAAGACACAACCATGTTCCTACGCAGCCCTGCATCACTGGTACATTTTGTCCTGTGCAAGATGCTTGTAATCCCAAATGAAGCCGGAGATCATGATATTATTTGTTGGCGGTAGGGCCCACTATTTTTAACAAGCTTTCCATGCATTCAAGGGGGACAGTTCCTGCCCTGAGGAGTGCACAGTCTATTATAATATGCAAACTTCTTGCCCCAAACGGTCTTTCCTTTGATGGCTCTGCTTCTTAGCCCAGTGCAATTTTCTGCCATGACATTTTCTATCTCCTCTATGCAACAAACTCTCAGAGGAGCTAAGAAATACTATACTTTAGCACCTTCGACTCCGAGTGCAAGCTGTGCTTCTTCAATTTGCTGTGTCTAGCACAGACACAGAGCAGTGCAGAAATATTCAGTAGCTAGCCCTAGCAAAATATGGCACTGCAAACAAAACTTCCCCTTGGGAGAGGATGAGAGAGGAAAATGAACTGCAGGGATGAAGGCAGTATGAGAACCTGTAAAAAACAGGACAGAAAAGAGCAGAACCTGTCTGGGCACTACTCTGTGTTTTGTACACGCCACATTTTAGTTCAAGCTTGTTTGGTAACGTGTTTAAAAGTGTTATAGTAGTTGGTTGCAATTTTCCAAAGACTGAAGAACCTATATTCCAACAATATAATAGTATATAAAGTGTCTAAACCTAACAGAGCGCTCTGCATATCTTACTATTTCTACTACGTATCAGTCAAGGCAGTAAAACCAAATTACTTCAGTTGCCAAGCACAAACTTAAAAAACAAAATGGATGTAATACCTTTTTCAAGCCTTTGCATATGTTTTCTGATTGCTTTTCTATGTGCCAGGATGTCATGATTTAAGACCTAATACTACCAACCTGTTAGAGCTACAAATAAATGCTAGAAGTGGATTGCTGGAAAATTAGAAATCTCAGTGGGATGTAATATTTGTAGCCCTGATTACCTTGTGAGGAGGGGTGTGATGTGTAAGGTCTGAGTCCTGGGCAGAAGCAGGGGCAGGGGCAATGGCAGGGGGCAACAACAGCTGCTCCTGAGCCCCCTCTAAGTTGATGCCCGGTGCCTGGGCCCTAGTCACCCACACTTGGTTAGACTTCTGTCTGTGAAATGCTAGTGTTAAGACTGTCCTATTGCATACCTTAAAACGCAGAAAGTAAAGTTTAGTTCCTGCTTTTATCTGACCTTTAACTACAGGCGATGTGTGCCAGCGATTCCCTAGTGTACCAGCAGGTCCCTAGTATATTTTACCATGACAGATAAAAGAATGTAATCAATCTTGTGAGCTCATATTTAGCCTGTATGTGTGATTATGCTAATCACATAATCCGAGAGTGTCAAATTCACCCTGGGCCCTGGGCTGGATCTGGACTTCAGGGCTCCTCCCAGGTCAGATCCATGTAGGCGCAGTGGGGCCAGGGCCAGTGGCATCGGTCCGGAGCAGGCAGTGGTGTGGGTTGGTCATTGAGCAGCAGTGCAAGCTGGCAGTGCAGATCCAGGGCTTGGCTGCAGCCAGGTGAAGGAGGGCCATAATCCTTATTTCCTTAATCATTGAACCCTTATAGAATATATACTTGAGATGTTACTTACTACTGCTATGACCAGTATATTATTTTGAAGACAATAACATCAATAGGGAAAACAGTAAGATTAACAAAACCCAAGCTGGCAGAAAGAAAGAGCAGGTGGGGAGAACTGCTACCAAGTGCTGCTGCTGCATTTTTGGAAGAGTCACGCTTTGCACATTTGCAGCTTTCTTGCACAGGACTGAAGCACGCATGTCAAATTTACATACAGAGATGAGGAAAATTAAACCTACCAGTCGTCACAGAAGTTTTGGCACAAGGGAACAAACTCAATAGCAGCGGTGTAGTTCGGATTGATCCAGTGGGCAGCATATGGGGAACACCGGTAAAAGCACTCAATTTTCTTTGTATAATCTTCACAGCTGTGTCAAGTGAGAAAAACAACAAATAAGCCCACTTCTTCACATCCAGGCTATAGTCCAATATCCAGGCTGTTTCAGTGGGATGTAGCTCATTAATATTAGATTTTCCCATAGACCCGTTGAAGTTACTCAAAAAAACACATACTGTATGGAACAGCTCTCCTGGGGGTGGCAGGCAACCACAGTTACTTCTGCACATATGTTTTTGCTTAATTGTTTTGTACTTCTGTTCTTTTTTTTCTATAGCTTGCCATATTTCACAGCTTGGAAATCTAGCAACATACCAAAAACCTTAATTACGGAAGACGTTCTTTATGATTACAGAACCCACGAGACGACAAGATTTTTTTTCCTCGTAATTACTCTGAAGTTTCATTTCTGGCCTCCCTTGTGTAATTTGTTTGCAAGACTTGATAATCTAATTTATCTGCTTTTTAAACAAGGGAAGAGGCCCTGTCTATACAAATTGTGGACCAGATTCACTGGTATGCTCTGGCTGCTTTCCACAACTACAGCAACGCAAAGTGGTTGTAAACCTTTTTAACCAGCCAGTTAAGTCAGGTTTATGACCGCTTTTCATTGCCAGATCGGTGCACAGCAGACAGATCTGGCCCCATAATCAAGAACAGGCCTTAAATGGCATCATTTCCTTTTCCACAAAATAGCAGAAGCTCCTCTGCACAAACAGCTTGTGCTTTAGGATTTGAAGATTTTGGGGAGAGGAAAGGGGGAGGAGGGAGAAGCTGATCAGATGGCAGCATCTGGTCCTCTTCCCGAGCTGGTGGCACCTTCAGGCAAACCCCAGGAGTTCCCAGGAGAAATTCCAGGGGGAAAGTCGTGCCGGCAGCTGACGGTCCGCCGCGGGGGACACGGACACCGTCGTATCGAACTTACGATTTGCTGAGATTCCCACATCTGTTCCAGTAGCTGTTGTTTACTTTGATGACTGGCGAATGGTCCAATTGCGCCGTGAGATCTGCATCGCAACAGGAAGCTGTTGGAGACAGAGCAAAGCCCCGGCCATTAGGGTTTGCTTTGACGCTGTACGTGAAGGATGCAACATGTAAAATATTCATCTTTTGGCAAGTGATCCCAAACAGTCCCTTGGTAACAAGTAGGACGCAGACCTTGCACAGGAAGACCTTTTACAACGCTTACATTTCCGATCTTGGAAACACTAATGTGAGAGCTGCCTAAGTAGGACTGAATTGGTATCAGTATTGCTTTGTGACGATGTATTCATTCACTGCCAAGAAGCTAAGTGGTGTTTAACCAGATGTGATGTCCTGGAAGAGTGAAAGTCTGAACTCCAGCCTTTTAATTCAGAAGTTACTAAATACACAACAAGAAACAAAAGATGAAGTGCAATGAATATTACTTTAATCAGCCTTTTCAGACTGTTTTTTTTCTGGTGGCTGCTAGTGTTTAATCAGGCCAGATATTTAATCAGGTCGATAGTTTTTTTCATTTGCACACTGCAATCAAGAGATGTATGGTGCTATTTAAATTTTCTCATATTTAATCACACTGGGTCACGGTGATTCCTGGTTTAATTTTACTTAACTAAATGCAAACACATGAGGGATGAAATCTGGAACATAAAAATTTGAATAACTGAAAGCAATGGGAGTTTCGTACCAGGTCTCAAAGCTCTTAAGCACTGGTTGTAGTTAAAAGCTAATGAAAGCTACTTTACAAACACAATGCCTGGTAATACCATGCCAAATTAAATTCATTTAAGGTATGAGAGGGACAGTTTGTTAATAGATGCAAAGGTCAATTTTTAAATGATGTTGAAAAGTTTTAAATTATGTTGAAAAGTCTCTGCCAAAGACTGATCCGCTCTTACACTTTGAGTACAGAGTGCATTCGTGCATGTCTGGCTCCGGGCTCGGCTTCTCTTTGTGAGTATCCCCTTCCAGGCAGCTAAACTCTTTGCATGTAGATGTTGCTAAGATAGCGAAAAATAGGGCTGCAGCAAACTTCAACATCTTCACGTAGCACTTGCCCTGTCAGGGAAAAAAATACGTTTGATCTGGTTTGCTTATGACTAGGAAAGGCCATCATACTAAAAGGCAGGTCTGTTTGTTGTATTTTTAAAGAGGTAAAATTAAAATACGTTAAACCAAGATGAACAGTCAAATATTTGTACAAAGGTTTGTCTGCTTTCTCTTCCCCTAGATCTCAATATTTTTAACAACCGTTATTTTTGAGCAAAGAGGGACAAATGACTGATACTTGGCACCGCAAACACAGCATCTTAACACAGCTTGAGATTCAGAAGAACGCAGAGGTCATCTCGCTTCATCGGACTAAAGGCCCGTCTCGTCCGGTTTTCTGTTTTGGGCAGTGGCCGGTATGAGTTGTTTCAGAAAAAAGCAGAAGAAACACCGAGTGGGTAATTATAGTGTAACCACCCCATAAAGAAAGTTTCTTCCTAACCCCCGATCTGAGACTGATTTTGAGATCTAAAACTAGTATGTAAGAGTTAGTACGTTGTACCCTAAATCATATGAGTTCTTATCTTTTCTGTTTTTAAACTCTATCTAATGTAACTGTAGAGGCCACCGTTAACAATTTCACTGTCCAATTATTATTATTTTTTTAAGTCTTGCTAAGAGCTTCCCATCAAAGATCTCTTGTGGCAATGGCTTCTCCAGGCTATTTGTGCGCTGTATGAAAACACAGTTATTTGATCAGTTTTAAATTTCTTTGCTATTTAATTAAATATCCCCTTGCCCTGTATTCTGCAGAAAGATAAATGGAGAGCCAGATCTGCTTTCTCTGTAACTGTCGGCATTTTGTATAACTCGTATTTATCTCCTCCCTGAAGTGGGTCAAATCTTTTTGATATTTTTCACATGGAACTTTTTTCTAATAATTTTCTTTGCTCGTTTCCAAAACGATGTTATTTCTGTAACAGCCTTGTTGAGAAATGGTGGCAAGAAGTCAAGGTGGTATTTTGGGTAATCTGTTTATTTACATAGCAATATTATTATTTCCAATATTATTTTTCCATCTCATTTCTTATACCTTCTAACATTTTGTTTGCTTTTTCTTACCACTGTTGCATATTGAGCAGAAGTATTCATGGAAACAGCCATGATGACGACTAGGGATACACTAGAACACGCACAGGACTAACAGCTCATTCCCTAAATGAGTTAATCTTTTTGATAATGGGATTTGGGTTCTTAAGTCAGTTGAGCTGTTTGAAAATGTTATACAAGGCCATTCTCCTGTGTTCACACAGTTAATTTATAACTCGGTATAGTATTCCACTTAGGCATAAATACAATTGCAGACCTTAAATGTTCATTAAATAATGGACAGCAAGTTTACTGCTCACTGCTTTCTTTTTTCTTTTTTTAATGTTTCCTACAGATACACTGATCCAAATTTATCACAAGGGAAATTTCATTGACTTCACTGGATTTCTAGGATAGATGAACATCCCGTATCTACCTGGGTTCTTCTGTATCCTGGGAAATGATGTAGTTCTTGGTGCTGTAGGTGAGTGAATTCCGGTGTATCTAAAACACCGGTCCAGATCCTTGGCTGTTGTAAACTGATGGAGCTCAGTTGTTTCCAATGAGGCAGTGCTGGCTTACACAACCTAAGGATCAAGCCCAATATTCTCTGTATCTGTATTTTTTCTATGATTAATCCAAAACCAAAAGAAAAAAAGACATTGGGCATAACGCTAAAAGTTCTCCAAATTCTAGACTACAAAAGTACATGAATGAACGAGGACTTGCCTCCTATAACACAACATAAGTGTCTGTGCATATTATTGGCTTGATCCATCAGTCTTTAATCAAAACTTTCTACTAATTTCATCAAGGAATTTTGCCTGAATAACACATGTATAATCAGCCCCTACATTTACACTAGACTTTTTTTCTAGTGTAAATGAAATAAAGAACGTTTAAAGTTTCTTTCTATAAAGAAACTAGAAGTTTTCTTTCTATAAAGAAAACAAAATACTACATGAAAAGAAAGCTGTCTTTATAACTTCAACATTGATTTCTCACCTCTTCTGCTGTCTTTCTTCTTGCTACTTCTCTTCGGGACTGGAAAAGAGCAGGTTGCTCTCAGCCTTCCTCTTTATATACACACCATCGGTCCCCCAGAGTTTGTTTGTCCTAGAAGAGTTCCTTGACCTTTTGGAAAGGTAGTGCACATTTCAGGAGCAGATACAAGGACTGCACAAGCTGACATGCACAGAGTGCTCCTTTATTGCTTGCAGACTCACTCACGAGGACAAGCAAATAAGAGTATGAGGTTGGATTTTTTAAAAATGAGTAAATTCTTCCCCCCTCCCCCCACAAGTAACCCCAACGCTGCACACCACACTGGTCACCTGCTGTGTGGGCAGTGCCAATGGCACATGCCCCCTGAGATCCCACACCCCATGCAGGCAGCACTGGCGCTGCATAGCTCCCCCTTGCATGGCTGCATGCGTGGCAGGTGGCCCTCTACTCTCCTGGTACACAGGCAGTGCTGGTGATGTGTGGCCCCCCGGGCCCACCCCTGCCACATGGTTGTGGGAGAGACAGCTGCAAGAGCCTGTGGATTACATGCTGGCCTCCCACGGTGCCCACCCTCAGGCTGCTGGTTGAACTGCCCTGTAGTACAGCAATTCTTAGGTTCCTTTTATTATGAATGATATTACTCATCATTACTACTACGGTATTGCCTTGGGAGGCTGATCATTGATCAGGACCTTGCGAAATGAGATTAATAAAACTGCCACTATATTCCTTTAAATGGAAATTCTGCAGAATTTAACGATGCTTAACTTCATTTTGACTATGGATGTGGCCATTTTCAAGCTGATGTTCAATAAAAGGGTCTTGTATCAATGATTGTCCCCTTTGAGATACCAGACAAGAAAAATGGAGCAGTTTTGCTTGCATGTTGCATTGCAGATCTTGCAGCGTAATTAGTAGAGATGGGTTAAACCGGGGCGGGCGATTGTTTTGGGCAGAGGGCCGCTTACTGAGTTTTGGCAGGCCATCAAGGGCCACATAACAGGCAGCCCAGGGCAGATAAATATTAATTTTCTAAATTTTTTAGGGGCCCTGCAGGCCGGATAGAATGGCCTGGTGGGCCGCATCTAGCCCCCAGGCTGCATTTTGCTCACCCCTGGGTTAAACTTTCAGACAAATTATTTTTTTTAACACTTCTTTATTAATACAATTATAGAACCACAGCTGCAACACAGGAGGAGTACACAGGAATTGCATGGGTTTGAAGGAAAAAACTACATTTTTACAAAAGAAATCCTTAAAGAAGATCATCTCCATTATGACTATAATGATGATGTATGCAAATATAAAATTAAATCATGTTCACTAATATTCAGAAATTCTGGACAGAGACTCTGGCTTGCTGCTTGGTGAATTTTTGTCCTGTGCAGAGGGTAGGACTGGAATCCATATTTCTAAATCTCTCTCTTTGGTCTCTTTCCTAGTCTTCTAACATCATGGGACTGTTTCTCCATCACCAAGATGCCACATATTTTAGCACACCGAATTTTCAGTTGAGAGGAGGAGGGGAGAGGAGGGAGATGTGATACCTTCCGCAGTTGAGCAATGCATCTTGAACAATTCAAAACAAGGAGGATGTCAGTTTTTCATTCTGCACGAGGCAAACTTCCTTTACTGAGGCATTCAATCAACAAAAACAATATTATCACCCACCACAATAGTTATTATTCTGATCACTTCCGCCCAGAATAATTGGACCTCGGGGCATAACTACCGTGTATGAAACTTTCAGGCAAATTCTGACACAGGGTAAGCTGATTTGATTTGCTAGCACTTTAAATCCACTTTGTACTCACTCTGGTTATCACAGATGATTATACATTGTGCAAGGCAGCTGAGAATCAGGATCATTTCATTTGTGGATTCGTAGATTTTTAAGGCCAGAGGTAAACAGTAGGCTATCTGATCTGACCTCTAATGTAACACAGGCCAGGTACTTTGACCCTGCTTTCCTTGCATTCAGGCCAATAACTATGTTGGAAAGAGTCCAGGGGAGAACAACAAAAATTATTAGGGGTCTACAAAACATGAAACACAAGGAAAGGTTGGAAGAACCAGGATTGTTTAGTCTAGGAGCTTGTGACCATTGGACCTTGTCATGCCTTGGGGTGCTCTGGTGAACAGACGTTCCCCCAGATCCTGATGAACTTATAGGTGGCCACCAGATCACCCCTGAGCCTGCGCTTTTCCAGGCTGAAGAGTCCCCTGGCTCTCAGCCTCTCTTCATAAGGCCTGTTCTCCTGACCTCTGATCATGCACGTGGCTCTCCTCTGCACTCTCTCAAGCTTCTCCATGTCCTTCTTGATTTGTGGTGCCCCAAATTGGATGCAGTACTCCAGCTGTGGCCTCACCAAGGCCGAGCACAGCGGGAGGATGACATCCTGGGATTTACTTGAGAAGCATCTATGGATGCAAGCCAGAGTTTTACTCGGTTTACCAGCTGCGACATCGCATTGAAGGCTCATGTGCATCTTGTGGTCAGTCATGACCCCCAAGTCCCTTTTGGCTGTGGTGCTAGTGGGCGTAGCACTGCCGAGCCTATAAGCATGATGTGGGGTTTTCCCCCCCGAGGTGGAGTAACGTGCATTTTTCCATATTGAAGGTCACCAGGTTTATATCTGCCCACTTTCTAAGCCTATCAAGGTCAGACTGGATCACTAGCCTATCCTTGGGTGTGGACGCTCTACCCCAAAATTTGGTGTCATTGGTGATCTTGGCCAGTTCAATTCTGACACCAGTCTCCACATCCTTAATAAAGACATTGAAGAATACGGGTCCAAGGAAAAAGCCTTTGGGGACCCCACTGGTCACAGTGCACCACAATGATTTACTTCCATCTGCTATCTGGGTCCAACCATGGAGCCAATTCCCCAGCCATTGGACTGTGGTGTAGCCGAGGACACAATTGGCCAATTTTTCCATGAGGAGATCATGGGACACCAGATAGAAGGCTTTTTTAAAGTCCAAATATATGACATCAATCTCTTCTCCCTTGTCCAGGTGATATATCACCTGGTCATAGATTTCATAGATTTCATAGACATCAGGGCTGGAAGGGACCTCGGAAGATCATCGAGTGCAGCCCCCCGCCCAAAGGGCAGGAAGTCAGCTGGGGTCATAGGATCCCAGCAAGATGAGCATCCAGTTTCATCTTGAAGGTGTTCAATGAAGGCGCTTGAACCACCTCCGGTGGCAGGCTGTTCCAGACCTTGGGGGCTCGGACAGTAAAGAAATTCTTCCTTATGTCCAGCCTGAAACGATCTTGAAGTAGTTTGTGACCATTAGACCTCGTCATCCCTTGGGGTGCTCCAGGCTAAAGAGTCCCAGGGCTCTCAGCCTGTCATCGTAGGGTCTGCTTCCCTGACCTCTGATCATGCGCGTGGCTCTTCTCTGGACTCTCTCAAGCTTCTCCACATCCTTTTTGAATTGTGGAGCCCAAAACTGGACACAGTACTCCAGCTGCGGCCTCACTAAGGCCGAGTACAGGGGGAGAATGACGTCCCGGGATTTGCTTGAGAAGCATCTATGGATGCAAGCCAGCGTTTTGGTCGCTTTACTAGCCGCCGCATCGCATTGCAGGCTCATGTTCATCTTTTGGTCAATGATGACCCCCAAGTCTTTTTCTTCCATCGTGCTAGCCAACATAGCACTGCCGAGCCTATAAGGATGCTGCGGGTTTTTTTTCCCAAGGTGGAGAACCTTGCATTTATCGGCATTGGACACCATCAGATTCTCGTCCGCCCACTTGCTGAGCCTGTCCAGGTCAGCCTGGATAACCTGCCTGTCTTCTGGTGTGGATGCTTTGCCCCAAAGTTTGGTGTCATCGGTGAACTTGGCCAGTCCGCTTCTGACTCCAGTGTCCACATCATTAATGAAGATGTTGAACAGTATGGGTCCAAGGACAGAGCCTTGGGGGACCCCACTGGTCACAGGACACCACGATGAGTGACTTCTATAGAAGTCTATAGAAGAAGATGAGATTGGTCAGGCAAGACCTACCTGCGACAAACCCATGCTGGCTGTCCCTCAGGATGTTGCCATCAGCCAGCTTGTCTAGAATGGGCTCTTTCATAATTTTTTTCCAAAATCTTTCCAGGGATAGAGGTCAAGCTGATTGGCCTGTAGTTCCCCAGATCTACTTTCCTCCCTTTCTTGAAGATGGGCACCACATTGGGCTTCTTCCAATCTTTGGGTACTTCACCTGAGCACCAGGAGCACTCGAAGATCCTTGCCAGGGGCTGGGCTACGATGCCTGCCAGCTCCTTAAGTACCCTAGGGTGTAAACTGTCAGGGCCAGCTGACTTGAAGGTGTCCAGCCTCTCAAGATATTCCTTTACGTGGTCTACACCGATGCTGGATATCAATTCACCCTCGCTCCAGCCATCCCACAGCACGTTAGGCAGGGCGGTCCCTTTGGGCTGATGAAAAACCGACGCAAAGTACCCATTAAGCAGGTTGGCTTTTTCCTGGGTGTCAGTTGTCCCATTTGGTTTAGCAGGTTACCCTTGCTTTTCTTCCGACTCCCCATATAACTGAAAAGGGCTTTCTATTGTCCTTGATACGTGTAGCCAGCTGGAGTTCGGTTGCAGCCTTGGCTTTCCTGGTTTGCTCCCTACAGGTGCAGACCAGAGCAGAATACTCCTCCTTTGTGGTGATTCCTGTCTTCCATCCTTTATAAGCCTTTCTTTTGAGACGTAGGAGGTCCACGAGTTCCCTGCTGAGCCAAAGTGGCTACTGTGCCCTTTTGCTACCTTTCCTTCGAGGTAGGATAGACATCCCTTGTGCTTTCAGGATCACTCCCTTAAGGAGCAACCGCTCCTCTTGACCTCCTCTCCCTGTTGTGTCACGGTCCCTTGGGGCCTTGTCAACAAGCCTCCTGAGCTTGTTAAAGTCAGCTTTCCTAAAGTCGAAGACTTCTGCATTGCTGATTGACTTGCCAGCTTTGCGATGGATACACGCCTTGTTTTTGAAGGGCAGAATGAAAAAAAAAAGATTTTTCCAGCGATGTGGCTAT